ATTTCGGTTTAAAGACAATCCAAATCATGTGATTTCATGTTATTTTACTGAACCGATTTATGAGAGTCAATTTTATAATGCAGGTTTTATTGACATACTCGACTAGATGATTTATTTAACTTGCAATTCAATTGCAATTGACAATCGACTTGTGGTGTTCTAATTTAAGGAAGCTCGGTTTACCGATTGCTATGTTGTTGAAGGTATACAAATTTTGGCAAATGTGATATCCAATTATCCGAGTGGGAACATCAGCAATGGGAAATGGTTATATCAAATCAAGGCAGGAGCAGTAAATTACAATAAGCTAATGGGGAACCGACCATTGGAGTATGATGCTAATTTCAAACTAAATTAATGGCTCAACAAAGACTCCGACTGGTGTAATCATCATTGTATCTCTTTCGTCACCCGACAGAGATTTTATAGTCACTGATGCCTTATAATTTTCAATTCCAGATACCCCTTTTAAGTGAACCCACATCGGTCCGAAACTGTGGTGCTAGCATCCAAGGCCAGATATGAGATCAGTTGTGACTTGAGAGGTCAATGATCATTGACATTGAAATTCCATATTCAATAGATCATGTCATTAGAAAGGGATCAAATAACCTTGGATGTTACTGGGAATGATCTGACTCGAATTGATGCATGCTACTGATTTATCATCTGAATTTATTAACTGGTATAATCCACTGACCAGTGAGTACTCAAGGGTCATGCGATCTTGTTTCTTAACTGACACTTATGCAAAATATATTCTTTAAAACAAAATGTTTGGTATCAAACCGTAACTTGGGTCCATGAGGTGATCTGCCACAACTTCGTAGGTATCATCTTTGCATTCCTCAATTTTAACGTATCCCTCCTAAACTCTGTAAGTATAGTTGTCAGTGGCTTTTCACGCCGCGCATGACATGAGATTGAATGTCATCCTAGCTTGGGGTGGCAATGATCTTTGACCTTTTGTTGTACATGTTTATTAGGGAATGACACTAGAAATGTGACTGGGGTGGGTGTAATTTCCTCACAAGTCCCTGGTGCTGCTCAATTGAACCTAACGCCATCTGACTCAGTCATGGCCACTTTCTGTCTTTCAATTTCTAAGTTTTAGTGATGCGCGCTCAATCATAACACAATTAATTCTCCATTCCTGCCTTTAGCCTATAATTGTCTGCTAATCTGAGTCGGTAGCATGCCTCGCGAGGTAGAGTTTGGTTTCGACTGACAAAGGTAACCAGTTTCTCCCAGAATTAGACCGTAGAGTTGTTTACCAAGATTTGCTAAATTTTGATCATATGTGACTGCTGTCTATTTCTCCCCTTTTTGACCACCCGCAATTTTGTCCATCTTTTCTACTGAGGTCAGGATGGGTCAATAGTTGAATTAGGTGTTCGTCCAGCTATCTTAACATATTAATTGTTTCTCTCAGCAGGTCCATATTCGTGTACTGCCCGCGGTTCAGCTGAGCTGAGGACTTCATGGGCCGGTGCTTTCTCCGATCCAGCGGCGGGGGGACCAGATCGCATTTGTGAGATCCAAAGCATTCGCGTCATTGTCTTTCTCTGGTTTAAATTAGCATGAAGGTCGCTTTTGCCTACAGATATAAATGAAGTATTACACCTGGATATCTCACTCACTCACTCACCCTCTCTCTCTCTCTCTCTCTCTCTCTCTCTCTCTCTCTCTCTCTCTCTCTCTCTCTCTCTGTCTGTCTCTGTCTCTGTCTCTGTCTCTGTCTCTGTCTCTGTCTCTGTCTCTGTCTCTCTCTGTCTCTGTCTCTGTCTCTGTCTCTGTCTCTGTCTCTCTCTCTCTCTCTCTCTCTCTGTCTCTGTCTCTGTCTCTGTCTCTGCCTCTGTCTCTGTCTCTGTCTCACTCTCACTCTCACTCTCACTCTCACTCTCGATTATCTGTTCTAACTCACTGTCGCAGGTCTTAAGATTGAACCATATCGTTGAGTCTTTTAGGCAAACGGGATTTATCGAAATTGTACAATATTTGTAAATTAAGCAAACACAAAGGGACAGGTGATAACCGGCCTTTAATTGATTGTAATGAAAGCTCTGCGGTGACCTGACCCTGCTTCAGATCTGATCGGCGCCCATTCTGACTCATCGGTGATTTTGGCGACTCCTAGCGGATGTCGTCAAGGCTACGTTAGCTAGGTGGCGGTAGGGAGTCACGGGTTGGTCTGGATTGTCGAACTTGTACCAAAATATTTCATGTATGAGATCGATCTTTATAACTACTGATTTAGAAACTTCGACATCTTGCTCTCTTTCTCACATACATACCAACTCACGCCCCAATTTACTCATCCACACCTTCACGCGTCCACTCATTCACTCATCACTCACTTAACTCTTTCTATCCTTGCCCGTGCCCGTCTGTCTCTTACGCATACTCGCATACGCGTCAGATTCAGGGTTATGTGGCGACCTCTCATGGCAGTTTTGGGAACCAGTGGCGTATTCCATGCTAGGTGGCACTGTTAGTATTGTCAGCTGCAGCTGAGCAAGTGAGCCCTGTCGGAGTCTGCACTGAAGGCATGGGATCTTGTAGGTGGCGCTAGTGGTGCTGTCGTCGGTGCGTCTTTATTCTACATGAAGGACATGAGCTGCGGTAATTTCTCGCTTCCCTCCGTAACCAACTAGACGTGTACAAGCAGGGTGACATTTGACATAGTCACGTCACATTGAACGGTAACTCGCTTGATGTTTATGATCAATTGCCTCAAATGATGCATCGATTTAACAACCGTAACATTTCTACGTTAATCTTTGATATACCTCGACGGGGGAGCTAGCATCAATATCAGTTAGGTACTGATAATGCTAGGACAGAAAGAGTAATTGATTGACAGGTTACGAACAGCGATAAATTTACAACGATTGAAATGGTGATTCAGATTTGTATCAGTTATATGAACGCGAATCACGAAACGACTCAATACTGATTTAATAACAACCCGGAATGCAATTCAACTTGTTCTGGCGCTGAGCTGCCGAAGGAGCAGAATAATGTTTGACGTTTACAATGTTTACTCTCCCTATCCGAATGTAACTGAACACGTTACGACTTCTTGGGCCGCCTTCGTATCAAACCTTATCCAAATGATGAATCTGCCCCAGGAATGTGGCGATCCTACGCTGACCGTCGATTTATCTCGAATAGTACTTGTAAGAATTGAGAATCGATTGATAAGCCTTGGGTTAACACTAGATTGATAATGGATTGAAACGCTGGTCTACCGGGTCCAAACTAGTTAGATTATGAAACAGCTTATGCTGACCTACTAGAAAAAAAAAACGAATTTGTGGTGGTCGCGTCGTGAGGGCGTGATCATTGCGTTTCCGTTGATTCGTGATCAGATCGCCGCGGTGTAGTCCCGGTGAGCCTGTGATGTGATGCCGGCGTACGGTCGTGTGGTCGACGTGACAACTTAAAGATAATTACGTTAGCGGTCTCTGTGAATCCGAATCAGCAACATATCCGGAGTAACCCTCCCTTCTTTCCCAGACAGATTATTGAATTTTCACGCTATATTTACAAACGGACGATACAATGCTGGTCATTTTCAACCGGTGTCCCACGATCGGTTGTCAGCTCGCCAATGCCAACTTAGCCTTAAATCTAATCCTAACGCCCTAACCGCAAAAGATTATTTACAAAACATCGCCAATTGAACTGTCATGACGTCATCTGACGTAGTTTGACGCGTCAGTGGTGACCAGCGCCCCAAAAATGACACCACCTGACCTGTTCCCCTCCCCTCTAATACATTGAACCCCACACCTCACTGCGGCCGGACCGCGCGCTCGATGGCCGACAGATAGCGCTCCCCCCCCAATACCAATGTAATGGTGAGCCATTAGCCTACACTGACCCTTACTGACCCGCCCCGGCTGTCCCTCTAACCCCTCTGTCTATCCCATAGCCAAGGCCGGACCAGTCAGGCCCATTAGCCCCTCCCCGTCTTTACAAACAGACGCCCCACTGCCGCGCTGCTCGGTCGGGAGCGGAATGTAGCGACCATCTGCCCTCCCCTTCCCAGTCGAGTAACACTCCCACGATGTTAAATCCATTACCCTCTAATGGTGGCTCAGGTTAGACCCCAGGGAGTGGCATTTGTAATCCAGATCAGAGACATCCGATGGGTGAATGGGAGGTTGAATTGTCCATGACGGGGAGGCAGTCTTGATGAGGCGGACAGATGAGATGACTCACTTGACAGTGTTTGATGATTGCTGTCCACTCCAGTTGAGGTCCGGTGCAGTGATGATCCGATCAGCAGAGAGGCCGCTCCGGCCGAAGCCGGGCGGGGCGGTGTCCCGCGCCGAGTCCCGAGGCGTTCTGTCCCTGGTGGTCGGCCTCCGATGGTCGGTCTCGGGTCTGTCTCAATCTCCTTCTCCTTCTCCGCTGAGTTTTTGTTCGCCTGTGATTTCCGGGCCGGAGGTTCCGGGCGTCGCCGGGCCTCCCCGACCGGGGCAGAAAATTGGCGACATCCCGTCTCGCATCCGGAGTCGAGACTGTCACCCTCCGCCCTCCATTCCGCCGGAACGTGACGTCATCCTCACTAGCACGGCTCATCCGTCTCAGCTGTCTCCTGCCGGATGACGTTTTCACACTCGATTTTCGCCGGATGTCGGTCCCTGCCTGTGCCGGACGCGGCGTTTTTCGCACTAGCCAGCACCGGAGGGCAGGTGGTTCCGACTGCGCCGCGTTCGTCGGCGGTAGCTGTGCCGGCCCGGATGGGTGTGTTTGTACTCCACCCTTCGGCGAGCCTTTGATCTTCGCTTAATGGTGACCGGCCGACGAGTCGGGGATCGTTTGGTCGACCCCCTCCCCACGCCGGCTCAGCGGCGCGGCAGACAGTGCGATCGTCCTTTCGTATAGAGTGTGAGAGATGTCTTTTTTTGATGTACGGAAAAAATGTTACAGCTTCCAGCTGTTACACAAGCATGAAGCAGCAGCACTTTTGAGTTGTGTACCTGTTATGACTTAATAATCCATGTTTCTTTGTTGCATTTTATTCACACACTTTTTCTCCGTTCCACACACTGATTTTACTAATTTTTGAATGTAAAAGTAAAGCACGTGAGTACATGTATGTTGGCCTGATTAATGGAGGTCTGACATTATTGCGAATATGTAAATGATATGATACTTTGTAACACTCTCGCACCCTTAAAAAAAAAATGAACTGCACTTCCTGCTCAGTAGTACTAAGACATAACAAAGTCCTTGAGCCACCATGGTTGACGACAGGTCCTCCCTGCCCTGGTCACCGCCTTTGGAGAAGCTTGGGTAGCAGGTGGCGGTTGTGGCGGTACACCTTCTGGCTGCTTCAGCTGTTTTGCGGATGGGTGAGGGCTGCTCTGGCCTCTAGTGTCTTGTGTTTCGGGGATTCCTGGAGGATCTGAGGATCCTTGTTGTTCCTCCAATGCAATTTCATCTGCTCTGGGATTAGGCAGACTTGAGGATGCTTGCGGAGGCGGTGGACATAAGTCAAGATGTTTGCTCATGCTCCGATGTTTTGACTTGTCACCGCAATCTTGCTCCTTCTTCGAGTCCTTGGAGGGCAGGAGTAGGAGCTGTCCCGCATGCCTTGACCAGACCAGCCCTTCCACTGTGACTTGGTAAGACACTGGACCGGTTCGGCCTATCACCTTTCCCTTTTTCCATTTTTGTCCTCCTGCGTAGTTCCTGACCAGAACTTCATCTCCAGCTTCATACTCGGGTAGTCTTTGGCTGTGACGTAGCATCTGGCTAGCTTGGGCATTCATGACCTTTTCTTCAGTGCGGGGCTTCAGCAAGTCCAGCCTCGTCCTCATCTTTCTTCCGGTCATGGCCTCTGCTGGTGCCACCCCTGTTGTGGTGTGAGGAGTATTGCGGTACTGCAGGAGAAAAGATGCCAGCTGAAGGTCAAGTGGACGCTGGTCCCCTCCGCTCAGGTGAGCCTTCAGGCTGTTCTTTACCGTTTGCACCAGACGCTCAGCCAATCCATTGCTTTGCGGTCGGTATGGCGATACTCTGATGTGTTTGACTCCTTGTTTTGTCAGGAAATCTTCAAAGTCTTTTGAGGTTAGCTGGGTGCCATTATCTGTCACCAACTGAACTGGATTTCCCCATCTGGCGAATATCTTTGCCAGTTCGGTGATCGTACTCTGAGTTGTGATGTCCTTCATCATTATAACTTCTGGCCACTTGGAATGGCTGTCTACAACCACCAAGAAGTAACTTCCTCTGAATGGCCCTGCAAAATCCAGATGAACTCGATCCCAAGGTCTCGATGTGCGTTCCCATGGATGGAGAAACACTGCTGGGTGCTCGTTCTGTACGGACTGGCATCCTGAACAGGACTTAACCATTTCTTCAATGTCACGGTCAATATTCGGCCACCAGACATAACTGCGAGCCAGCATCTTCATCTTTGTGGCACCTGGGTGACTCTCATGCAGCTCAGCCAGCACTGCTTTTCGGAGGCGGCTTGGTATCACGGCTCTGCTGCCCCACAGGATACAGCCATTGTTGAGGGACAACTGCGCTCTTTTGTTTGCATAGGGCTGCGCTTCCCTGCTGTAGGACGACTCAGTGTTTGGCCATCCCCTGTGTAAATGCTCGGCAACTTCAGACAGGACTGGATCTCTGTTGGTTTCACGCTGCAGGTCTCTGGCGCTGAGTGGCGGCATGTTTTCTATCTGCTCGAGAAAACATACAGTGGCTTCATCTGGGCCGTTTCGGGTTCCGGTTGGCTTGTCGTAAGGAAGACGAGACAGAAAATCTGCCATGGGTATTGCCTCTGCCTTCCGGTGCTCAACTTCGTAGCTGTATGCCGCTAACAGCAGCGCCCATCGATGCATTCGCGCTGTGGCTAGGGCTGGTACCTCTGATTTGGGCCCGAATATCGAGCTTAGTGCCTTGTTGTCGGTGACTAAAGTAAATCTTCTGCCCCACAGGTACTGCTTGAAGCGGGTTACTCCAAAGATGACTGCTAGTCCTTCTCGATCGAACTGGGAGTAGGCTTTCTCGGCTTTGGTGAGGCTTCTGGAGGCGAAACGGACCGGTCGCTCCGTCCCGTCTGTTCCAACCTGCATCAACACGGCTCCTACGCCGTGCGGGCTAGCGTCCGTAATGAGCCTTACGGGCCGGCATCCGTCATAATGTGCCAGTACTGGTGCTGAAGCAAGTCTCTTCTTGAGCTCGCTAAATCCCCGCTCTTCTGTAGCTGTCCATCGCCACTTTTCTCTCTTCTGTAGAAGCTTGTATAGCGGCGCAGCCACTGACGACATGTCCGGTATAAATCTTGCATAGAATGTGACTGCTCCGAGAAAACTTCTCAATTCGCTTGTGTCTCGCGGTGGCGGTGCATGTAACACCGGGTCGATCTTTTCTTTCACCGTTTGGACTCCCGCAGCGCTGATCTCCACTCCTAAGTACTGGACCGACGACAGCAGGAACTTGCATTTGGCCTGCTTCAAGACCAGCTTCCAGCTTCTCAGTCTTTGCAGAGTCTGGTCCAGCCTCTTGAGTGCCTCTTCCTTCGTAGCTCCAGCCACCAGAACATCATCCAGGAAACACATTGTTCCTGGTGAGTTTTCCAAAATTTTCTCCATGGCCCTCTGAAATGTAGCAGGAGCCGAGGATATTCCATAGGGGAGTCGTTTCATTTTTAACAGTCCACGCGGTGTGTTCAGCACCGTGAACTTTTGACTCTCTTCATCCATCTTCATTTGCAGATATGCGGTGCTGAGGTCGAGCTTGCTGAAATACTTCATTCCAGCCAGTTTTGGTAGCATATCTTCCAGGTTGGGCATCGGGTGCTGTGGTACGTCGAGCTGCTTATTGACAGTGTGTTTATAGTCTCCACACAGCCTCACTCCGCCGCCGGGTTTTGGGACAACGACTAGCGGCGTAGCCCAGTCGGAATATTCAATCCGCTCAGCAATGCCCGTCTTCTCCCACTTTTTAAGCTCTTCATCGACGGCGTCTTGAAGGGCGTACGGAACCGGTCTTACTTTCCTAAAGACTGGCTCGGCGTCATCTTTGAGCTTCAGCTTCGCTGTCAGATCGGCCATCTGTCCAAGCTCGTCTTTGAACACTTCCTGGTTGTCTGCGAACACTTTCTTGAGTGTCAGCCGGGAACCGCCGTCTTTTTCCAGTTGGTTCACCGTATCGGTGCGCATCACAAGTCCCAGGAGCTCCGCGGTGGTTCCGCTTAGCAAGGACACATCTCCGTGCGCCGCAATGATCCAGCAGCTGAGTGCTTCCTTTCCTCCGACTTGGCTTCGTGCCAGGAATTCTCCATCGAGCTTCAGTGCTTCTTTGGTGCCGTAGGGCAGAAGCCGTCTGCTTGTTTTTGTCGCCTTTACACCTTTCAGCTTCTTGAAATCTTTTCGGGTGATAATATCGACGGACGCGCCTGTGTCGACCAGAACTTGGATTTTGGTATTTTCGATCAATATTTCAGTCAGTCCCTGTTTCAGCTTTTCTTGGATGGGCTTCTTCGGTCTGGTGGAGAAAACCAGCTCATCTTCACCCTGTTCAGCGCTTTCTTCTTGTAGGTGGTTTACCCGTCTTCTAGGTTCCAGAGTTGTCTGTGGCTGCCGTGTCTGAGTAGACCAGCAAGCCCTGGCAAAATGATTTTTGCCGCCGCACTTGTGACAGGTCTGACCCTTCGTTGCGGTACAGGCGTTTGAATTATGCCCTCTTCGTCCGCACCGAGTGCAGGCAGGAATTCCGCTTCCGGCGAAAGTTCGCTGTCCCTGTCCGTTGAATGGCTTGGATGGAGCTCGATATTTCTGTCGAACTCTGTTGACGTTTTCGTTTTGTGGCTCAGACTGCTCAGTTTCTGGACTGGGGTCCTTCTCTTTGCCGTTCTTATCTTGAAGTTTTTGGCATTGGGTCCGTACTTGGAGATAGGACTCCCAGATTTTTACCGCGTCTTCTGTAGTCAGTTTATGGGCTTCGAGCAGACGAACTTGCAAAGTCTGATGGGGACATCTTGCTATGAGTATATCCCGGATCATTTCGTCTCTCTGTTCCCTCGAGAAATTGCATTTATCTGCTTGCTTTCTCAGTCGCACAACAAAATCTCGGACGTTCTCGTCGTTATCAGTCATGTTCATGCTATGAAAGATATTTCTCTCGTAAATCGTTCGGACCTGTGGCTTTAACAGCGATCGCAGCTGCTGCTTGGTACGCTCGTACTCATCGGTTCCCTCTAAATTATTTTCGTAGACCGTGTCGATGTCTTTCAGCCGCTGCTGTATGTCGGTTCCAAGTAGATGTAGCATCAAAGCTCTTTTCCGTTTTGGTTCCTCGATCCCAAGCGCACATAAATAGATTTCAAAGGAATCTATCCACATGTCAAAGTCTTCTCCCTCCCTATATTTCTGAGGGGCATCTACACTTAATGCCATTTTAATTTCCGTTACGTTACCTACTTTTAGTAGCGTTAACGTTACGTTAATCGGCGCTCTAAGTTTACGTTACTTTATAACGTTAAATTCATCTCGTCCTCGTCGCCATTATGTTATGACTTAATAATCCATGTTTCTTTGTTGCATTTTATTCACACACTTTTTCTCCGTTCCACACACTGATTTTACTAATTTTTGAATGTAAAAGTAAAGCACGTGAGTACATGTATGTTGGCCTGATTAATGGAGGTCTGACATTATTGCGAATATGTAAATGATATGATACTTTGTAACACTACCTCTCACTAAACTGCACCTCTGCTACCGTACATGCAATTTATATTTCTGGTATACACAACATGGCGGAAATCGATAGACAAAAACAAGTCACCAATGCTCCTTCCAGTATATATTAGAGTTCAGTGGTCGCTGAAGAAAAGTTCGGCCAAGCCTGTTTGTCAGTATGTGAGTGAGTATGTGAGTATGTGAGTGAGTTTGTCCAAGCCTTTTTAGACCTGGAGTCAAAATGGGTGGACCGATCGGGACGAAAGTGGGACCGTTCGACTCGTCTGCGGCGAGGTAAACTTTTGGTACTGGCCTCGGTTCGCTCAGTGCTTCGTGGCACATGCTATTCCGCTTCAAAGTTTCGGTGACACGAAATTTTTTGTCAAGGCTACAGGTCAACCCGAGGTCACGGACAAAGCCACACTGGCGGGACACATCGGTAACACCTTGAACCAGTTTCCAGGGGGGTCACCGTCTGCGAGGGGTGCAGGCTGCACGTGCTGGGGGCGGAAAACCGTTTTGACGTGAGGTCCTCTGGCTCAAAGAAATTTTGAGCTATCAACCTCAAAATCGGTTCAATGGTAGTCTCAGGCAAGGCCTCCAAAATAGTGCACATTTGGTTGAGCTAAACTCTGTGGTGCACGAGCTAGGTACGTGCAAGCCGATTGCACCCCTTCGTGCGTTGCCACGCCTGCAGGGTAAACGGCCGCTCTAACTGGTTCAAAACTTGCAGGTCATAAGAAGAATACATTGAGTCGTAACATTCCGGCGAGATAATATCCCAGGGGTGCAAGCTGCGCGTGCGGGGGGCGGATAACGGTTTTGACTAGGGATCCTCTGATCCCGGGAAACGTCGATCTAGCGACACAAAAGTCGGTACACTGATAGAACTAGACACACGCTACATGATGTTATGAAAATGACTGCACTGGGGTGCCTGGGACATGAACTATGCACGTGCAGTTAATTCATACCATACTGTAGGAAGATATCCGCACCAATCTCACGTGCTTCGAAGCATTTTTGGGATGTTTCGTTTGGTTTCAGGTTCAGTCCAAGCTCAGTCTGGGTTTCGGTGGTCTGGCCCGGTGTGTGCCCTCAGTACCGTTCCTCCAATTCTGGCCCAAGGCAATGCAAGAGCGCTGCCGGCATCTAGTATAGATAGATGTATGCTGCGCTCAGCGAGCCACTTGATGCCATAATGGCTGTCCATTCAAACCCTCTTCAACTCAATGCATAATGCATTGTTTGTCATCAACGGCAAAGCATGTTTATATTGTAGTCTACAGGTTAAGTGTCCCTGTTTCAGATTGTAATGGTGCTGGTATAAATATTTAACGGCGTTAAAGCCAAATGAGTAACTGTGGTCTACCTTCTGGTCTCATTCGATTCGGCAGGAAATCTACTCACGTGGCTTGCAATTTATCCACCCTGACAATGCAGCTAGCTGGTTTGCAGGCTCTTGCACACCGTTGCAGCCCCATAAACTGGAAGTTGTGCGGAAAACGCGTACAACATCTGTCAAACTTGTGACAGGCATAATCTGCTGGATTTGGGGGAGCTTTACCAACCGCTAGATTACGGTCGTGACCTCTGTTTCCTCGACAACCAGCCGAAAGCGCTAAATGTCGAACACTGCTACATTACCAGTAAAACGCCTTTTGGGCGACCAACGGAGCGAGCGAGAGGATGGGCCTTGCACGTGCGAAATTGCGAGGGGGTACCTCCAACTAACTTGTGCACTGCACCCTACTAACCGGTCTTTAGCGATGTGCCAAATTTCAGCGCAATCGGCCTAGCCGTTCTCGAGATCTGGAAGCGGCACACTGCACGTGCGCACGTGCAAGCGGGGTCCAAACTGACTTTTGCACGGCACCCTACTAACTGGTCCCCAACCGTGTACCAAATTTGAGCGCAATCGGCCCAGCCGTTCTCGAGATCTGGGAGCGCCCCCTGCACGTGCGCACGTGCTGTAGCACCCCAACCTTAACAGATGCAGATGAATTATCTGATGGAGACCTAACTGTGTACCGAGTTTCAATTCAATCGGCCCAACCGCTGTGCCGTTATTGAGGTTGCAATTTTGGGGGTTCTTAAAAAATGTCCAACTTTACCACGCGCCACGTGCGGTGGTTGGCAAGAACGCATGGTGGCCATCACACCACAGAACTTTTACGTCCAAGTGACATTCAGTAAAGAAGACCGCTTGTCAATCGGATGTCCCGTTCCTAAGATATTAGCTTTTGAAGAGCGTCCCCACGGCCGGCCGGCCGGCCGCTCATACTCAGGATTTTCCCTTAATTCAGTATGAGACTCCGCTCGCTTCGCTCGCTCCGTAATTATTGAGCTATGTTAGTCTTGGAACTGCCAGCAGTGCAGTTCGACATTTTCAGCTCGAATCATTATCAGTTCACGATAGAGCAGTCCTCGACACTCGACGGCTGTAGGAAGCCGAGAAAGCGTCTGGAGAGGTGGCAAAGCTTTAAAGTCCTTGACATAATTCCGGAAAAATAATTCCTAAAAAGAAAAGAAAAATATTCCTGTTGCTAAGCGGGTTCACATAACACTAGGTGATTTCCATAACCGCTTACCGGATACAGCACCCCCACACCCAGCCCTGCAATAGTGCATATTTTAACACCTGAATTGGATTAGCCGCTTCCATAACGAGCCAGGCAGCGGTGTTCGGCGATGTATTTTAGATACCACCCGCCTCCAGAGTACCTACCTTTGTGGGAGGGAGCTCAGACTATTCGATGGGAGCCGGGAGGGAGATCGTTGCAAAATAGTGATCAGCGCTGAGGCTAGAGAAGTATAGCGATAAAATTAAGTGCCAGTTGAATGATATTGCGCCGGATTTCCGTTCCATGGTGGCCCAGAGATGTGAACACCTTGCTTGTAAGAGATGTTAAGGACAAATTGACCATACTGTGCTCCTACCTTTTTTGTTGCACCAAGCTTCCGTTCACCTACAAACTTCTGACACTCTCTGCACTCACCAAGACCCTGTTCGTCAGCAGGGTCTTGATATTGTCCTCGATTGTCCTAAAAACAGCACTGTCCTTTGTTTTCAGCCGACAAGTTTTCTCGGGACATCCAGTACTTCAAGGACGGAGAACTCAACAAGGATGCGCTGGTCAGCTTCGTCAGGGAGGTGAAGAAGATGAACCCCAAGATCAGTGACGAGGACGCCGCCGTGCTTGCCGCTCAAAAGTAAGATGGTGGTTTATAGTGTGTGGCATTAGTGGAGCATTATAAATAGCTTAGAGACCCACCAGTTAATGTTTGGCAATAGCTTTTTCGTTAACATTTTCCCCCATTTTTAGCTGCACCTATTTTAAATTAGATAACGATATAGATTTGTATACATGACTTGGATCGGAGACTGATGGAAGTCGCCCAGCATTACAGATCACCTGACATGCTTCCCGGACTGGTGAAAATTAACGCATCTCCTACTTCTCCCTCCGCTACTTTACCTGTCTGTGACTCTGACTTTTACTCTGATCCGACATAATGCAGCACCATTGCCCGCTCCTTTACCTGAACCTGACCGGACCCTGACCTGACCTGACCTGACCTGCCCCATAGACTGGTGGACAGTCAGCACCACTCTCGTCTGTGGTACCGCATTGGAGCCACTCGCAGTATCGCCGGGGGGCGGAAAACCACGCCCAACATGAGCATGAAACTGCAGCAGGTAAGAACTCAGCACGAGTGGTGTACATTGCAACGAGTGGCGTGTGCGGGTTTACTGAAGTGGGTTGGGTGATGCATGTGTGCCAGATGTGGTTTGGGATTGCCGTGGATGCTGCAGTGTGAAGTGGAATCGGGAGTGTGTTTTTGAGGTTATTGTTTTTATTTTTGAGTTGAGATGCCGATGAGTGGCAATTGCTCTTTGAACATGTGATGCGAGTGGTGTGAGATTTCACAGAAAAGCGGAGCGGAGGCCGTTTTGATGGCTGGATATATGATATATTCTTAGTGCCGTGTGACCTTTTGCCAACGTGTGACAGTTTGACGCGGTAGCTATTGACCAGCTTCGGCTCTAATATTTTCCGAGTGACCCCCAACTGAATCCGCTGAGGCCCGGTGCATTTCGCGTTAGGAAAGTTTTCGTTGAGCGGCTTTGCTCGGTTGAGTGCCAAGCACAGCGCTGTACAATAGTTTGCCGTGCCAGCCCGCCTATAGCGAGCCTGCCGACCCCTGGCAGCCGACTCCAGGACTCACTGACTCCCGGCAATGACTCACTGACTCCCACTGACACCAGCCTGTGACTCACTCTGTTCCGCAAGCAAGCCAAACTAGACGAAGTAGGTAACGGTCAGTGATGCCTGTGTAGAGCGGAATGGTTTTGTCCCCGCTATAAACTCGCCTTTTGGACAGTCGAGCCATGGATTTCACAGCAGTCTTTCCTTAGCTTGCAACTCAGTCACCGCTTGCGAGTTACTGTACCCCTTTCTGCTTGCTTTGTGAATGTGTGAATCTTTCTACAGTTATTTTTACTTTGTTACATGAATCTTTATCGACTATTCATATCACATTATTATGAGGTTAAGAGCAGACAATAGACATAGTTTTTTCTTTATGTGTATTAGTTCTTTATCCACAGTGTGATTTATCATGTGATTTGTCGTGTATACGATGTTATTATAACTATAAGTTTGGTTATTCGTAGTAGTCATTTCGCAATTGTACCATTGCAAGTACAAGCCTCGTCATTGTGTATATATGACGAACTAGTGAATATCATTAGTATAGTGTAAGTGACCATTGTATAGTGATTGTATCCATGTTTGTTACGAGTAGTACAGTAATATGCCCACTTAATCGATGATTGCGTTCTTCTCTTTGTTTCTCTATCGCTTCTAAACGCACGCTCTCTTCTCTCACATCTACCAGGTTTATGACAGTATTAGAAAGGTATGTGACACTGAGAAAGATAAACACTGTGTGTTTGAGTCCATGCATGCAGGCATCGAAACGATGTCTTGTCTTTATTTGTTAATGTACCTCTACCTTCGCAACGGTGCAAATTTCACCCACCATGAAACTGACGCATTTTGTGTAGTTTGCACACCACGCTAGTCTCCTTTGCACACTGCACTAGATGTTACCACAAAATATATACTCCGTCCCTCTTCGAACGTTCTGTTTTGTGGTTCATTAGCGTATTTCAGTTGCGTTCTTGGCTCTGGTGTGTATACTCGTGTGATAGCACTAACGTCGAATTAGTTTGAATCATACATTTGAAATAGTTTTGATTTGATGTAAAAAGTGTGATTAAATGCAACATTTCAATGTCTTTGTCTAGCTTTTATGCGCTTGAATAACAAGACTATATAGTTATTCAGATGCGTTGCGAATTTTTCACTACAACCAACGCCCAACGCATTCAGTAACTGTCAGGATATCGGCGCCCCAGGTACCGTTTATTGACTTATTGATACTGTGCCGTTTGGTAAGCCACGTCGAATTCCGCACACCGTACGATAAGTGGTGTGGATTATGGGATCGTACCGCTAGTCTGGGTGCGATAGTTATCTGTAGATTGTAGATCTAGTGGGTGTCGAGACATGGTGGTTTACGTGTGGGTGGGGCGGGGGGGGGGGTTGGAGTTGGACAGGGGGAGGGAGATGGGAGATAATCTGAGCACCCGATAGCGGCAGCGCGGTTGTAAAGTGAACAAACCTGTACTGCTTCGAAAAACATTTATTTACTTCGTCTTGTCACAAGCATTTACTGAAATAGGATGTCAGATAACTTGCAAATGATTTGTCGACATCCAGCGTTACCAATACCTTACACATACACATACCAATTAATGCATGTAATGCCAACAAATTCATGACACCTTCCATGCCGACCACATAGGTACAATTAAACGTTTCTTTGCGTACAGGATATATCCTCTGCTCAACCCAAACCGCTGCCTATTACCGCCCTATCTCCTCTTACTACCCCCCCCCCCCCCCCCAGCGCTCCCTCTGACCCCTCCCGCGGTGACCCCAGGTGTACACCACCCTGAACGAACACCCGGACGCGCCCACCCTCGGTGAAGTGAAGGTGGTGGACACCACGGAGAATGCCGTCATTGAGTTCCACGCCGCCACAGCGCACGTGATGGAGAACGTCGGAAAGTTTGACGTCACTGTTGTCCGGTCTGGTCTGACGGATACAGAGGTCCGCTGTAGGTGAGTGGAGGGAGTGATGTCATAATGACGTCACCATGTTGTCCGGTCTGGTCTGACCGATACAGAGGTCCGGTGCAGGTCAGTGGAGGGAGTGATGTCTTAGTGACGTCATATGGGTAGTGGAGACATTGTCTGTCTTATGTTGATGCTTGGTGTGGGCTATGTCATTTTATAGATATTTTGTGTAGTTAATGAGGCCGATTAGGACCTCACATGAGGATTTTAAAAAGCTATCGAAGCTAACATTTCTCAATGTCTGTTAAAAGTGTATTTTATGACAAAATAGAACGCGTTTCCTAAATTATCACATAGCCGCATTGCTATGGCTGCTTACATATCCCCCCTCCCAGCCCGATCCATTCTCGTAGTTCACCGTGTTGACATGATATGACTCGGTCAGGATCGAGACCATTGATGGCACGGCTACGGTAAACGAAGACTACATCGGCATCAACGAGATTCTCACCTTCCAGCCGGGAGAGATCGAAAAACAGGTGGGTGAGGAATGATAGGGACGTGGGACAGAGTAAACGGAGGCAAGCGAGGAACAGGGGCCTGCCAGGAGAGTGAGCGAGTAATGAGCAGCAGGACTTAGAACAGGATACAGGGGATAAATTCCATGGCGAAGGAACCCAGAAAGAAGGAGAAAAGTAGGTACGACCTATGCAGGCAAGAAAGGGAACTTAGCATGTCGGAAAAGTGCGCTGTTTTTGTGTCGTTGCATACATTGTTTCTTTCATCGGTAGACGGTAGTATATTTCTGGTCCTACTCGCTGACCGGAAGTGTGACGTTTCCGACTGTTGCAGCGCAAAGAGGAAGTGTGTCGTTTCCTGACTGTCGCTGACCGGAAGTATGCCGGTTCCGATTGTCTCTGATCGGAAGGCTGTCGCTTCTTACTGTCTCTGACCGGAAGTGTGTTGTTTCCGACTGCCGACTGACCGGAAACGTATCATTTCCTGACCGGAAGTGCGTCGTTTCCGTTGCACAGGTGACTGTGGAGATCATCAACGACAACCAGTGGGAGCCCGACGAGGAGTTCTTCCTCAAGGTCTCCCTCCTGCCCGAGGACAAGGAGCCGGTCGGAGTGGAGATCGGACGCATCTCCATCATGGAGATTACCATCCTCAACGATGATGGTGCGTCCAGGCAGCTCTAGGATATCGATATCATCGTATTAATGTAGCTTCTCGTCAATATTGAGAAACAAGGATAGGTGTTGTGACTTTATCCCGGAGTCAATGAAATCTAATTCTGAGTCTTTTGCTATTTATACGCCGCAGTATTCTACTTGTTTTATCGTATTCGTTTATCACTCCATTTCGATATCTCAGCTATTATTGCATCGATTTATTCCATTTTATCAAACAAATCGTTTCTGACGGATTGACGAATGTCTTCCCTCCACCCACCCACCTCACATCCAAGGTCCTAAAAACAACATCTAACCCACCATTCTGTCTTCCGCCAGAGCCTGGCAACGTGCAGTTCTCCAAGCGCGGTTACCTGGTGAACGAATCCATCGGAAAGGCCTCCATCCCGGTCATCAGAAAGAACGGAGCAGACGGCGAGATCTCCGTCAAATGGAAGACGATCGACCGCTCGGCACTATCGGGAAAGGACTATGAGGGCGGAGAGGGCATGCTCATCTTCAAACACACGGAGGTTTGTCAGCCTGGAATGGGAGAGTTACGAATGAATTAGGATGATGAGATTTTGGGGTGATTAATTCACTTGACAAACGTCGTTCAAGCTCTAAACTTTATTCCATTGGAGATAATTTTGGTTTACCGGGAATCGTCATGGGAAAGGGGTGATGCCTAAGTACTGGGAGGATTTTAAGAATGTTTACCAGGATCTTGTCTGCAGATGTTACCTGGAGCCAACACCACACTACCTGTCCGCCTTTGCCGTCATTGATGTGTTTTCCCTGCACTCGATGTGAAAATGGTGCCACTGGGAGCGGTTTGGCGCGTGGCACGAATTCATAATAGATTGAATTCGTCTCCACGCAGTGCTGACTGCACCCCTGTTGCTGATATTGACTCGGTGTCTTCGAAAGCGGTCTAGTAAAGCACCTCACTCTAGGGTCAGCTGTGAGAAGTTCACAAAACGCCTGAATGAAGTGCAAAGGAGGATCCATACCTACCTGATATCACCTGAGACGAAAGGAGGGAATACAAATAGCTGAATCAGCTAACCATTGCCCGAAAGTTCACGGGCGTTCGAGTGTGCAGTGTCGTTTGCGGATACCGATTTCTTTTCTGCTGTAATAGTTGGTACATCAACGACTTGCCAGTAATAGTAGGCCATCTACCAATCTGTCCACCTGACCCCAGGCGTATTTCCCCGCTCTGACGACAGATGTCTCTGTCTACCCTCAGACGGAGCGAATTCTGGAGATCCCCATCACCAACGACTTCTGTCCGGAGAAGGACGAACACTTTGAGATCGAGCTGTTTGACCCGACGGGCGGAGCACGGATCGGACGCATCAACCGCACGGCGGTCACCATTATCAGTGACGACAGTATGTGCAGAGTGGAGGCTTGTAGTTCATCATGCGACATCGCATGCGTAGATTAATGAGTTGATTGCACGACAGTACCTTCGTAGAACCTGTATCGTTGTTAACTGTTTTTTTGCGGTATTGCGCTGGTAGAACACTAGATATTTATTAGTTACTTTTAGCACGACAGTTTCTTCTTCTAACTTATTTTCTCCTTTGCGCTAATTTTCTCGGCAATTGTCATGCTTTTATAAAAGTGCTTATGTCTTAACCATTACGGTAGTGCAATTGCACCTGCTCAAGTCAGAACAAAATCTCAATTTAACGTCACCACCATTTCTTCCTTTCTCAGACTTCAACACGGTCATCTCCCGTCTGATGAACCTCACAAACGCCAACATCCACGCCGTGGAGATCCAGCGCCAGACCTGGGGCGAACAGATCAAAGAAGCCCTCACCGTCAACGGCGGCGACGTCGAGAACGCAACCAACATGGACTACGTCATGCACTTCCTCACGTTCTTCTGGAAGGTGCTGTTCTCGCTGGTGCCTCCGACCGGCATGCTCGGTGGCTGGCCGTGCTTCTTCGTGTCACTGGGAGTGACCGGAGTGGTGACGGCTATTGTCGGAGATCTGGCGTCCATCTTTGGATGTCTGGTCGGACTTCGGGATAGTGTAACAGGTTAGTGATGGCCGGGGGGAGAATGGAGATAGGAAATTTGTGTCAGAAGTGGGTTTGACATGGGTGCAAAAGAAGGATGTGTTGGACGAAAATAAGTGGCAGCGATAATGAAGTCATCACGGCAATATTTGAAAATGTTTGCTGAAGACGTATAGGGCACATTTGAATTGCGGAGAAATGATACTCAGCTCATTTGGCTTAGTTAATTTGAGAAAGATATCGAACAGTTTCCTTCAATGACGTACGTACTTATTTAGTTGCGTTGCGACTGAACTTTAGTTATGGTTAACATTTTTAACCTTCTTAATCACTTTCAATATTAGCCGATACAGTGAATTCACATCTATAAATGGCCACTACCGTTCTTGTAGCTCCCTCTCGCCTCTTGCCCTCACTAACTCTCCCCCTCTCCCTCAGCCATCTCGTTCGTGGCTCTGGGCACCTCTCTGCCCGACACATTCGCCTCCCGCACCGCCGCCATCAAGGAGACCTACGCCGACATGGCCATCGGTAACATCACCGGCTCCAACAGCGTCAATGTGTTCCTGGGCCTGGGACTGCCCTGGCTGATCGCCTCCATCTATCACGCTGTGGCGAGCGAGGTACGGCCAATGACGTCATGGGGGCGGGGATCACAGGGGATTATGGCAAGATGTGATGTTTTAACACAGGAGCCTTGCTGTTCGTTATTTCATAGACTTCTGTTTACCAGTCTAAAGAGGCGAGAGGTCTATGGTTCTTCGGAATTATTTAAATAATTTTCCTCAGGAAAGTACCGATTACATTAAGTTGCGCCCATACCTACCGGGCTAAACAAGTTAGAATGACTTTTATGCCAAAATGTAGTTCATTCAGCCCAACTTTACCCAACTTCTCCACTCTTTCCCGTGTTAGGTACCCCTCTAACTCCTTTTCCGCCGCCCCCAGGACGGCACATTTAAGGTGGAGCGCGGCGCACTGGCGTTCAGTGTGGCCATGTACACTGGCTGTGCCATCGTCTGCGTGTCGCTGCTGGTGGCCAGGCGGTACCTGAAGGTGTTTGGAAACGGAGAGCTCGGAGGTCAGTCACCTGGGCTGGGTGCTGGGAGGTCAGTCACTGGGCTGGGTGCTGGGAGGTCAGTCACCTGGGCTGGGTGCTGGGAGGTCAGTCACCTGGGTGGTTGCTGGGAGGTCAGTCACCTGGGGTGGTTGCTGGGAGGTCAGTCACCTGGGGTGGTTGCTGGGAAGTCAGTCACCTGGGGTGGTTGTTAGGAGGTCAGTCACCTTGGCTGGGTGCTGGGAGGAAGTGTTGGTAGTGTGTGGGGGGATGGAAGGGGGTTGGTAATGGGCCTTTCTGGGCGGCCACCGTGGTGCGCCGCCAAGGGCTGAACGTTGAGCCCTACTCGTTAGCCAGTCTCGTTAACGGTCACCCCACCGCATAGGAGCATGTCCCGATGAGAGGTTACATATTCGAGTCGTAAGGAGGTGACCGTCCAGCCCGGAACACGGCAATTGGGGTGCTGTGAGGTGTGTGTCCTTTTGGTAGACATGAGGGATCGAAGTAGAGCTGGTTTTAGCTACCCCCTACGGGACTGCAGCGTGCCTGAAGCCCCGTCTCGTCCCTACCACAGCCGCCACTGACGACCCCCTCCCCTCCCCTCCCCCAGGTCCGACCGTGCCGCGCTACGCCTCCGGTATCTTCGTGTTTATGCTCTGGATTCTGTATTTGGTGATGTCGTCTCTTCAGGCGTACGGCCACCTGCCGGGCATGGGCTAAAGAGGACGGAGAGGGCGTACAGCGCTGGCAGCGTCATCTATGAACGGGAGTTAACACCATGACTTTATGAGCCGACCGAGAGATGGGTGTCAAATCGAGCCTTTTGGTGGTAGGATGTGTGCTCGCTCGATGGCTATAGATAAGGTGACTAAGTGCAGGGATCACCACACCTTTCCATGCTTCTATCCTCAGGATACTGAAATCCTTCTCCTCCACGCCGCAACCCCTCTCCGGGCTGGACAGGCAACTTTATCTCATGCGGGCTGCTCCCTTGGAGCGGCACCGCTGCTCCTGAGGGAGCGCACCCCGTAGCCGGGTGCAGTGAGTGCCTTGGGGCTGGGTGGCCTGTCCTCTGGACGGGCTCAGCCCCGGCGACTCACTAGGGTGCCTGCCCAGACCAATGTCTCCCCCTAATTCCTATCATCCTTCCGGCTCTGCAATGGTCTTGTCGACCGAAAGGGCCTAACCCAACAAAACAAACAAACAAACAAGGGATCATCACCGTTCTGTGCTTCTATCCTCAGGATACAGAAATCCTTCTCCTGCTGCCTCCGGGCTGGACAGGCAACTTTATCTCATGCGGGCTGCTCCCTTGGAGCGGCACCGCTGCTCCCGAGGGAGCGCACCCCGTAGCCGGGTGCAGTGAGTGCCTTGGGGCTGGGTGGCCTGTCCTCTGGACGGGCTCAGCCCCGGCGACTCACTAGGGTGCCTGCCCAGACCAATGTCTCCCCCTATATCCTATCATCCTCCCGGCTCTGAAATGGTCTTGTCAGACCGAAAGGGCCTAACCCAACAAAACAAACAAACAAGTGCAGGGATGGCGTGCACAATGTGAATTGAGCGAATTTATTCGCTAACGACACCTATCGCCGTTAAGGTGCTTCGTAATTAAACGTTGAGAGACAGTTACACTTACCGATTAACATAAATCGTTGCGATAAGTCAAATATGAGACCCGTGCGGTCTCCGTTTCGCCTCAGCCCTCAGCCTGGCGTGTTCCATGGACAGCTCTGATGATTACGGCCGCCATTTAATCGCGCCCCAGAAAAGTCATTTCTGACACTGAATAGCTGTTTCAACCTGGAATTGTTTGCAGCACCTATTTGGAAACATTCAGTACTAATGGCGAAAAATGGCTCAATTGTGTTATTACTGGCACTAATTATTCGGAGTGGTATACTCTAAAACTAGAGTCTGGCACTAAAATGCTGAAACTAGCACCCATCTACTAGGAAAGTAGACGGCAGGTCTGCCAAATCAAGTTTTTTTTTAATATTCCATGAAGACTTAGTCTGCACAGTGCACATAGTTGCCAGTGCCATTGCTGAAGTGTGATATGCACACAGGAGGCTAACACACGCCGAGACCACCAGACGTGCGTCAGGTGCCTCGCCAGTCGGCGGCGGCGCCGGCGGGAATGAAGTCACGGGTCTCGGGCCAGGGGGCTCGCGCGACGCCACTGTCGAGGCGCTATAGCTGCATTCCAAGACATCCCTGCACTGCAAGTGACTATTTGGCAGGTATATGACGCTTTGTGGCAGGAACAGTGGTAGTTTTAATGTGTCATCTGCGTAGAAATGCACGGACAAAGATTGGTGCTACGGAGAAATGCCAAATTGATATTTCTCCGGTTGCTAATTTTCCTAAGAAATTTGGTCGTTTCTGGCTCGGTTGATGCGTTTTACAGAACATGGTCTTTTTCCATCGTCAAAAAGCGTGCCATGAATGAAATGTAAATTTCTGTCTGATACCTTTGGTAAAACTAATCCAAGAAAAGGGCCGCAAATAGGCGGAAAGGTAGGGGAATGCGGAAGGAATTAGGTGAAATATTCTGGCGCCGATTCAGCAATCACTGAATTATCGGGCCAGGCAATCAGGCAACCTAAGGCTTCATTTCAACATTTTAGTGCCAGATTCAGCTATAAGGTTCCAGTGAGCTTCTTGGTGCTGCACAACAATTAGGTACTAGAAACAGCTATTTAAGGATTGGAAATAAATATACCGCGATGAATGACCTGTATTCACCAGTAGCCAGGTGGTGAAGTGGGATGTTCTACTCCCCACCGTCAGAGCTCTGCCGCTCTGCCAGAAACGAGCACATCCGACCGGTGCGTCTGCCTGCATTGTTCGCTCTCGTGCTCGTTCCCCAGGCTCCTTTGTGTGTGAGAGACTCTTCAGTGTAATTGTGGCTCGTTCAGCCAATAATATTGTCCTTGCCGTAACGGCGTGTTGTGCGCCTCGGGTGCTGTTTGTGCGCGTGTATGCGGGTAACGTGGTAGGAATGATGTGTTGCCACTTGCCAGATGGCTCTGTTGGTTACCAGATAGCGGAGACGGCTGTTTTCGCGACTATCTGTGAAAGAAACTCAAACCATGATTGAAAAAAGTAACCGATTCGGTTGTGCGGGTAGTTTAGAACACGCACACAGCGAACTCGTAAAACCTATCCTTTTTCACGAGATTATCCGAATCTACTTCAGGACAATGCGTTCAGTTTCTGTACGTGCGGGATGATTTTCAGCTGGTTTGGCAGGTTTAATCATTGTTCCTTTCCTCTGAGCAGCCTGCAGTGCCGCGTTGTCTAGCTACCTCCCCGGGTGAAAAGAAGTGACTGCGTACGGAACATATGTGAGATTGACGTGTGAACGTGTGAAATGTGCTGTAAGCCAGAGAGAAACGCTGGGTAATGACGCTTTTTTAGGCCCGAGTATGTGGTTTGTATTTGTTTTGCCTTTGTATGTGCTCTTTAGTTTGACTTTTTATAGTTGATGTGTAAACAAGTGCTTTGTCCAAAGCGGTCACATGCTTTACTTACAGCTTTTTAGCTTTCTTATGACAATGCGATGATTTGAGACATTGTTGTACTTGTGTAGTTTCTGCTGTGAATATTGCTTCTTGACTAGGTTCCATGAAACACGTTTTTTTATCATCTTTAGTGGCCGCAGGAATACGTGGAGTTTTAACTGCACTGCTTTTCCCGGTAACTGCTTCTGTTCGCTCTATACTCTGACATGTTTAATATGCGTCGATTATCACTTTTAAACCAGAAAGTGACGTATTCTTATTACGTGTTTGTGAACATTGGAAATGCTGCTAGGTGCATAATATCTGACTGCGCTAGTTCCTTTCATGCTTATTTATTATACAATCATAAATGCCTGTGTTTTAATTGCGGACGATGTTCGTTCTTATTGATGCTGAAGTAAAGGCCTTTTCCACCAGAAATGACATAATCAGGCGAATAATATATGCAGGCTTGTGGTGTTTGTTTTTAACAGTTTGCTCACAATGCAACGGCGTCCCGAATTGTTTCACCTTATTTTTCTGACCACTGACCAGTAGCATCTGGTATAGCTAATAGCGGCTAAAAACTACATGCAGTCTTTGGCGTTTTAAGGTGTGTTGGGCGTCTTTTGTGGTTTCAGTTGTGATTTAAGATTAATAACACGTCGGTCTATATGCGATTTAAAAATAAATGCGGTAACCTATACGCGTCGCCCGTTTCATGTGTACTGCTCGTGTCAAAGATGTATGCTAAAATATATTTTCTTCGTATTAACCCTCGCCGGACCTATTGGTTTTCTACATACGCGCCGGCCGAGGGGGGGGGGGGTACGACCCCCCCTCGCTGTTTCGCCCCTGGTGGAGCTGGCGCGTCGCGGAAAAAACGAGCGTGTGCGCCGTTACGAGACGCAGAGATTGGTACCCGATTTTAAGGTCCTAGGTCAACCGGTGACCTCTGAGGTCAGGTCAAGTGCCCCAAGGTACGGTTCAGTTTTTGGTGAATAACTTCGCAAAAAACGGCCGGTGAGCCGCGATTTTGGCAGCATCGTGTTCGCCTCGCTCAGGCGCGTCGAATGATATACTTTTTGTTCGGGTCAGGTCAACTTGGGGTGTTGACCTCAGGTCAAGGTCAGGTCAGCACCCCCAGGTCACGAAGATGGTCGAAAGAGGTCATGTCGCATATCATTCGATTTGACAGGTCTTCCTGAGTCCATTGGTGGCTTCCCCGACTCGCTAGCTCAATTTGATCAAGAGTTATTAACGAAAAACGAATATGACCTTGATGACATCATAAATGACGTCACGCAAGGTCAACATTGCAAAAGTGACGCATCTAACCTTGCAAGGAGTGCATCAAATCACGATTCTGTGTGCTTGAGATAGTTGGAGATCGTTCCCGGCGCCAGAATAGCAGTTTTCATTTTTCCCCATTGACTTATAATGTTGAGGTCACGAAAACGACCTGACCTCATATGACCTTTAGGAAAAATCCGAGATATACAAGTTGTGAGACTCATAATGGATACTAGATCCTGCAAGTTTCATTTCCCTGTGACATCTCCTCTGGCAGTGAGGGCGTTGCGAAGTTGCGACATCTGAAGGCCTTGCAGAGGTTCACTTATGACGTCATAGGTCAGTGACCTGACCTGACCCAAAAATGCAGCTGGTGTCAAAAGATCCGGCTTGAATCAAAGGTCAGGTATGCCAAGTTTCAGCTCTCTATCGCCAGCGTGTTCGGAGCTATCGCAAAAAAGGGTTAAGGGTCAAGACTTTTTGCTCTTTTAGTGTAGAACAGAGCTACTTACAAATATTCGGAAAGATTTTCGATATGTCTGTATTTACGATTTGTCTGAACGAGGGACGCCCGTACGCCAAAAAAGCAATTCCCTGATTGTCTCTCCCTTATTTTACCGCGTTCTGGTGTCTAGAAATTGCCGTCTTCGTGAATTAGGTATTAGCAAATTTCATGTAATCAAATTGAGATACCGTAATGGGAAAATAAATACCGAATACGATACTTTATTCTCATTATCTAAAATGATAAAATGATCGTTATCTAAAATAAAGGCTCATCTAAGATGTGCAGTACCTACCTACGGGATACTGTGTGATGTGTCAAGGGACGCCATTGTCAACACGGTGTCAACGACCCCCAATTTTCCATACATTGCATCGTCCTCTGTAATTCCCTGGCGGCTAAGTGCTAACGTTTGGTCTATCCCCGTTCACGCGCCGGCGCATGGCCTACGGCCCAAGATTACTTTACTATTCCTACGGCCTGCCGGTGTCGAGGCTCACTTTGACACCGGGACGGCAGATCCAAGAGAACATATTCCTCTGGGGTGAACGTTCAATTTTTTAACTAATATTATCGCTCGCTATTGCAAGGTCAATTACCATGTAAATGCATCCCTCATTGCAGCCATGTTGGAGAGTAGGTAAAAGCCGTTGGTAAAGGAATTCCTTCATTCCAGGAGCACAATGCTACCAAATTCAACAAGTGAGTTGCTTGCGATTGTAGCGTGTCGAAGACAAAAGCGTGAAAAGCGATAACGTTGGCCGCCATTACTGCAATACTGCGCTGCATAGTTCGTGAACTTTGGTGACGTGCGTTTCGTGGTTGTGAACCGTGGCGTCCTGAATCCGGAGAGACTGCGAGCGATATTCTTCATAGGTCTGCTTCAAAGGTGTGTTGGTCTGCTTTTTTATTCAAACCGCTGTTCATTTGCATGCCAGCGCTACTGTTTTGGTTCGGCTTTGATTCTCGCATGAGCTCGAAAGTTTAGATAAAGTTTTAAACGAAGCCGGCCCCTCCCAGTTCGGGATACAACGCTCGAATTACACTCACCTGTTTGCTACTTTCGCATATTTCCTATGTTTCAAAACTTCTCACAAGTCACAGGTCTCCTGAAAGGGGTTTTAAGGTTTGTGAAGGACTGCAGCCTGATAAACTGATGTTAGGTACCTATGCTGAGGCCAGTTTTGCCAACAGAAAAATAGCCACCTGTTAGAATTTTTTGCCTAAAGACTGCTTCACATACGGAGCGTAAACACGATGGGCACGTAAGCGTACAAGGCTTTACCATTTACGCTTGTATGTGAAGCAGTCTGAAGGCAAAAAATTGTTACAGGCGGCTATTTTTCTGTTGGTAAAACTGGCCTCTGGTCATGCATGCTTTATTTTTCAAGTGTCCCACATGTCTTACCAACCATGTGATAAATGATAGGTACCTAACCAATGTGAAACCTCATGAGCCAGGCTGGCTCATCTCATACTTATCAGCAGTAATTTGTTACGTGTGTGCTGTGCAGTGTTAGTGTGGCGGGCAAAGTTTGGGGGGGGGGGACACCAGACAAATCAACTGTAGCCAGTTTGATTTTTTTTGCCAGTTTGAGTTGATTTGCCCAGACAAATCAACTGCAGCCACTGATTTTCAATATAATTGCAAAATACTATGTGCACTCTGCATTACAGGCTCATTGAGTAGGTCGTTTTTTTACAGATTATTTGAACTTGAACTTTAAACTTTTGCAATAAAGTTCTGAATTTATCAGATGATTACCGAGGCACAAATTGCCATCATTGATCTGATTTGATGTGATGTGCTGGCAAGCTATGCTGCCATGCAAAGGAAAATACTGCTTTGAAATTAGCAGTGACCATTTATAGTCAGGTCCTGGATGTTACGTCAACCCTACATACTGCTAGAACCCTACATAGTACAAACCCTCAAAAACCCTGAACAAGCAGCAATGTTTGAATTCCTCCGTTCAGTCTCAGACCGAAACCCGCTGCCCCCGCTCTTATCCCGCACCCAGCACGTCTATAAACAGTGTCCGACAGTTGCTGATGTTCGGCGTAACTTTGCCCGCCAGCTTCCGTTAGCTCCTGCCAGACACGCGTCTGCCGGACAGCGTGACCATAGGGTGAATAGTTTTTCATTTTTATGTAGTTTTATTTAGCCTATTTCTTTGTAGCTTATAGGTACTTTTACGATCATAAAACATAGTTATGGCGACATGCGAATTTTTAATTCGACAGTTCGTGCTATATGTGCTATCGCTGCTGTGTTCAGCCCATGTCCTTAGCCTAACTAACTTGGGAATGTAATTGAAAAACGACAATGCGGTCTGCATTTCCTATAGGATCTTTCAGGCTTTCAGCGCATCTTTAGCTTCTGTCAGAGGGGGTATCGGGAAAAGCTTAGAGACCGATGCCCATTTGCTGAACTCCACACCCGATGCCTAGCCGATAATTTCGTATTGGTTCTTTCCTAGTCTGGCTTACTCTAAAAGGAGATTGAGACATCACTGGAAAATACTTTTGTATTGGATTGGATTATCATACGAAGCAGTAATGCGTTATGCTGTTAGTCCCGAATCCCATATCTCAATCATTTTTTACGATGGTATTGGTATTTTAGGTGCCTCTTCGTTCTGTAGTAAATATCTTATGATGTAGGTAGTCAACTCATTAGGACAGCCATATAGCCTCGTTGCTGGTGCGCCCTAAAACGCCAAATCATCATCATCAACTCATTAGGACAATTATACACCTTCCTTTTGTCGTTCTTTCTCGAGGCTTGTCTCCGGCGAGTTGATTTCTGTCCGTAGTTTGGTGATCAGACTATCAACAAGCCGTCCGTAACATCGGTCCATCCGTTGGTTTTGGCCCGTGTTCTCCCCGTGTTAGTCATGAGCATTAGACAGTTGTCAGGAGGGGATTACTCAGAGGCGATTCCCCGTGGGGGCGGAGCTAGGGTGGCCTGCGGCCAGTCACCGTTCGCCCATAGCCCGGGGCGCCGTGACGTCAGAGTTCAAGGTCACGGTCAAGGACGGGACGGGGGTAGCGGCATGGGCGTTGGGGTGGCACGAATGATGATGGCCGTTTGGCCTGATTGTAGGTTTAGACGAATTGCTGTAACTTATAATTATTTTAGACCATATATTTTTAATTATCAATACCCGAAGAAGCAAGGACATTTTAAAATCATTTTAGGTAACAAAGGATTGTTTATTCATTTACGTAATGAGGTTCCAATTAGCATTCTATTGCATGTGCAATTGCATTTTCGACCCAGACCTTCCCCGACCTAAATGCACTCCCCTGGACACGTTCGTAGCTGTCGTGTCGCCGCGGCGATGCTGCAGCCCGCCCTCCCCCGACTTCCTCAGTGATCCCCGGTGGCGGCGTGGGCAGGTGTTTGTGTGTTTCCCGGGGCCGCCACCGCCAGGGACGGCCTGTTGCCGACCCGGTGATAAGATCAATTAGGACGGGATAAATGGTGGCCGCTTGTTGCCAGGGGTCGCTAGGATGGGGTCAGGTGGGAAGGAGGAAGTTGGTGCAAGGTTGGCGCTTTAACGCATTGATGGGGTGATTCTGCGTTTACCAATGGGTAGCTGGGGCATTCCACGATAGATCGTACCACGCCCGTCACCCTCATCTCTCAGATTTTAATGAAAATCGGTCCTAGGGGTAATCATAGGCCCCAAAGACGCCTGGCAAAATATAAGACTTCTCAGATCAAAACTTTTTGAGTTATATTGCATTACATTTTTTTAACCTCGGTTTGTAACGGTGAGTTTGTTGGCCTATAACTCAAGAACGGGTTAAGCAACCAACAAAACGTAAACAACATTAAGCTTGCGATGAATCAAAAATTAATATTACTATTTAAAAATTCCAAAGAAAAATTTTCATTGTTGAGCAAAAACCTTAATCTTTTTTCATTTGCTTCTAATGACTTTTGGGACCAAAATTTTTCACATTTTTATTTTTTTCAAAATAAACTTCATGTCATTGCAAATCGACATGCAAAAAATTAGAAAGGTGTTCTTTCTATAAGTTCCTCATTTTCCCGCAGACAAAATGGGTTTCGGAGGGGTTGACACGACCCCAGCACGCCGTTTCGCTTCTAATGGAGCTAGAGCCTCGCGGAAAAAACATGCGTGTGTGCCGTTACAAGTCGCAGCGATTGGTACCCGATTTTAAGGTCTCAGGTTAACCGGTAGCGTTTGAGGTCAGGTCAAGTGACTGAAGTTACGGGTTCGGTTTTTAGTAAATAACTTCGCAAAAAATGGCCGCAGAGCCACGATTTTGGCATCATTGTGTTCGCCTAGCTCAGTTGCATCGAATGGTATACTTTTTGCTAGGGTGAGGTCAACTTAGTAGTTGACCTCGGGTCAAGGTCAGGTCAGAGCCCCTCAGGTCACGAAGCTGGGCAAAGGGTATCATATGGCATATCATTCGATTGGAAGGTCTTCCCGAGTCCATTGGTGGCTTTCCCGACTCTCTAGCTCCATTTCATCGGGAGTTATTGACGAAAAACTCGTACGACCCTAGTGACGTCATAACTGACGTCACGCAAGGTTAACAATGCAAAAGTGAAGCATTGGATTTTGCAAGGAGTGCATGGAATCACGATACCATGTACGTGAGATAGTTTTAGATAATTCTCGGCGCCAAAATAACAGTTTTTATATTTCCCCATTGACTTATAATGTAGTGATGTCACGTGACCGACCTGACCTCATGTTACCTTAAAAAATTCCCAGATATACAAGTTGTGAGACAGGGGCGGATCCAGGATTTTTCGGGAGGGGGGGGGGGGCGGCAAGTCAAAATAGGGGCGACCTGGCAATCTGGGGGCGCTTCATACGAAGGGGCGCCAAACCGTCGTTAAAATCGAGAGTCGTCGAACCCGCGCCGTGGTATGGGACGTTGTCATGCTCCCCCTCAGGTTTTTCGCAAAAGTATCTGAAAAACAGCTGTGCGCAGCGCCGCCGTTTTCAGCACACATTATCATGCACCTTTTTTGCACATGTTGTGAAAGTGTCAGGCCCGGGTCATGCAACGGCAGGTCACCAGGTCATGACAAGTGACCTAACCCCAGAATGTTAAAATGCTCACCATTGCTATACCGACAGAACGGTCGCTTTGAAACTGTCAGCGATTGATGAAAGCAACAATATTCATGAAATGTATATCTTGGAATTTTGATATTTGTGGGCTAAGGTCAAGTCAGTTTTGCGACCTCTCCAATCTCCATTAGGTATACCGGGTAGGTATACCTAAGTTTATGTGAGACAACTGAAAGGCTTTTGGACGAGCGCCATTCTAGACAATCGCAAGCATTAGGATACATGTAAAATCAACACACTGAATAAGAAAATTGCACTTGTGACCATTCATTGTGTCCCACAGGTCATCCCAGGTCATGAAAGGTCCTGAACAGTTTTTTGAAAATAACTTTTGATAGATACATATGCTAGAACGATAAAAACACCTCCGTTGTGTTCAGCTCGACGATACAGATCGACTGATATGCAACATGACATTTCCCGGTGAGGTCATGACCTTGACCTGAGGTCAAATTATCAAAATTACCTTTCAAGGTCATCCTATAGTCCATTCGACGCGTCTCGACGACAGAAACGCGATGCTGGCAAACGTAATGTCGAGCCTCTCTTGAGTCAAAAGCTATTGCAGGAAAACATTGTTCGTAAAACTGCTATTTTTAGAGTTTTTGCCCTCTGGAGGCTAGACCGTTGACCAGAGGTCAATTCTGAGGGCAGTTCACAGAAGCACCTTTGAAAGGGCTATTGAATGCGCTTTACCGCGGCACTATAGCTCCATTGGTTTCCGAGCTATGTGCCGGCGTTTCGAAAATTGTTGAAATAGGCAACA